GCTGGTTAGCTTGCCGCTATGGCGGATCCAATAGGAGCCGAGATCGGGTGGAGCATGATGACACCCTTTTCGGCCTCAAAATGATCGAGTTGAGTTGAGACCGACGAGCAAAGTCGAGACACTACCGGGCAACTAAAAGATAGCGCGATAGAAATGCGAAACGACTACCCGGAAGGCGACGCGAATCGGAAGACGACGTGAAACGTATCGACGAAGCTCACAAGAGTAGTGGCGGCAGCAGCAGTAACAGCGATGGAAGGGTAATGCTACATAAGTCGCTGGGTTTCCCAGGGGAGCCGCACATGGAGACTCGAGGATTGCAGGAAGCGTCGAATAGACAGATGGAGATAACAAGGGGCTGTCGGAGGCTGTTGCAAAATTGGAAGAGACAATGGACGAGATGTAGGAACAGATGACCGAAGAATAACAGCTGGTCCACGAGCAGCTCAAAACCACCGCAATGAGCGCAACGGCCGAATCCAACGATCATGTGCTGCCGTCACACCACCCTCAACATTTATGCCACAAGCCGCTCCCAAAACCGCGACCTCGACCGATCCTCTCGTCCCCACGGTTGACACACTCTACTGCGCGATTGATGCTTTGCGGATACAAGATGATGATACCAGGCGCTTGGTCGGGACGATTCGAGCGACAGTGGAGAATCAAACTTGGGCCAAACTGGATCATTCCATGTGACGATGCCGAGCCGTACTTAAGAACCGAAAGAACACCGGAACCCGCGTCCTACGAGACGATCGCTCCCTGATAAAGGTGGACACTGTCAGCCCGACGCCAATGAAGCTGCCACCGCGTGCACAAGGGGCAAATCCGCCAACTTCTCCTCAAAAGTGCTTGTTATCGCGACCAGGACAATTCACGGTTGAAAGTCGACGATGCACGGTATGCCGGGTTAGGGAGAGAGCTCTCAGGCATCGACAGCCGCGACACGGAACCGATACTGCGAATCATGATCCTGCAAGTGGTCACGCGGTCAACAGCGATAAAGAGTATTCGCGTAATGAACTCCGTCCTTCAACTCAAGTTCTCGAGTTTGGTCAGTCTGAAGCATCCAGCGAGAATGCGCTTGTGGAACGCGTTGACTTGCCACTTCTCTCTGTTCCAGCGCGTAATCGTTCGCAGACTGTCGATTGTCAAGGCGGAAGCAGCTTCATGCTCAACAACCCAAGCTGCCCTCGCTGCATCACCACGCAACTTCTCGGTCCGACTCTTGTACGTTAGCATCATCAACTCTCATCTCATCACTGAATTTTGTTCATAGGTAGCTGTTGCGCTAGTCCCCAATCGCTCGGCCCCCCATATCCGATCCGCTCCGCCTTCGTGGAGAGTGGAAATGAAGCTTTGAGCTACAGCACCAGGATCGATGAACCCACTAGCCGCATCTCCATGAATCGAGAGTCCCCGTCTCAGGCCTCCTTCGGGAACACCATCGCGACCCTCGCCACCAAGAGCTCCAACTTCCACAAGAACTCGTTTGAGGACGGCAAGGCGTTCTTCGAGCAGCACAATGACGGAACGGCCCTCGATCGCACCAGCATAATTCGGGCGATGAAAAATATATTGAGATGGAAGGATGCAAGCGCGAGATCGCTCAGCTTCGGCTTAAGGTGACGGCCTAGGGGGATACCCGCCGTAAAGGCGAGATTCGGTGCCCCAACGGCATATTGAACAGGACAACATGATAGACAGACACTGGCTGGTAAAGTATTTTCGAGGAATAGACGACAAGATCAATTGTCTCCGTGCCATCGGCAGTCTGCTCGACATTATGCCGAGTGGATTGTCTTGCCCGACGAAGGCTTTGGCGGAGCAGAATATTTGGTTTGTTGGTCTTGGACGATATGAAAAGTGACTATATCGCGTTGGTATCCGTCAGCAGAACCAAGCTCTCCGATATCTTCGCTATCATCTCCCACTTAGTAAGCAAGACCTGGTCGAATCGCCCCGAGCCGTCCTCCACGGAAAGGACGTTCTTGTTTGTGTGTTCCCCATCGTGGACGAGTACGACGTCAACCACATACGATCAACTAGGACGTCTCCAAGGTCAGCACGTTCGTCCATGTGTGGTCGTTCATGGACAGAATCAAGGTCGAGTTGGAGGAGACAACTCTAATGGGTCGTCGGCACGAGAGACTGCACGGACTACAACAAGTCCAACGGCCCGATCGACGAGAAGATCTTCTACCCTAAGTCGAAGCCGATCCTCCAGATCGCCACGACGGAGGACGAGCTCTTCTCGGTTGTTTTCGAAGACTCCAAGTCCGAGTTCTGCTTGTTTTTCGATCTGCGTCTCTTCGATGAGCCCTTCCGAGCAGGACTTGGCCACATCTCGGAGATGTTCGTGGAGGGGCAGATGGATGAGGCCGTGGGGCCATCAGATTCCTCGAGCGCGAAACCAACCCATGGCCAATCGAACAAGTTGAGTTGTAGTTTTTCAGCCTTTGGCACAGAACGAATTGACTACCGCGGGGACTATCAGTAGACGGGCCACGCTGGCCTTTGAAGCGGTGCTAGGTGGGAATTGCGCAGCAGGAACGGAGTCAAGAGTAGTTCCTCTGTGAAGAGCGGAAGAGATCGACGAAGAGGGAGGAGTCGCAATGAGTTTAGGCTTTGGGCTATGATTGAGTCGATGTACGGTTTCGGGAGCGGCTGGGAGGGAGTTTGTCAGTCCTGATGACACTAATCTTTGCCTTATGGCATTGATCTTTGGTTGGCTATGGACGCTATTCTCTGGGTCGTCGGTATCTACATTGCCGTGCTCATGTTTACTGCAGCGTAAGTCGAGGAGCGAACGGGGCTGACTGTAGACCTTTAGCGCGCAGCACCCCGCATGGCGCGTTACCTAACTACCTTCCCAACCCCTACCGCTTTAGCAAATTTCCCCTTCGCTTTTCAAGGCAACTCTTCCATGTCAATACATACTCTGTTCCGTTTTGCTTCCACCAATAAGCATACCGGTAGCAGCAGCTAGAGTAACTCTCTCGTCTAGGTCTGAGGCAATCGGTATGTCATGGACTTGGCTCCGGCTATGTTTTGTTGACTGACGGACCAACCAGGCCTCTAGTGCTCCAAGCCCTCCCCCAAAGACGAGCACTGGCTCGGCGATGAGCTTCCGACAAACAGTTCCTCAGTAACGGACTTGAGCGCTCCACGACGAGCTTCGAATCGCTTCGAAGAAGAGCCCACGGCAATTTTCCAAGGGACCAACCGCGACGAGATTGCGCTCAACGATGAGCTCCCAAGATGCCGCTCTCGCTCAGAGGTTCCGCTCTTAAGAAACCCTCTGTAGATGACGAACCTGTCCTTGATGATCAGCCTGGGAGAGAGGCTGTATGAGAACAAAGTTACGCGTGACAGCAGCGCAGCCGCCGCCCTTGGCCCAACATTCCGCTTAACGAGTTACGCAAATTACCACTCTTGTTTCGCTCAACGGCAAGCACCCAAGGAATCGCTCCCGATGAAGACATTCGCCCAACAATAGCGACAAGAAGCAGGATTGTGCCGGAGGAGTGGAACGTCCTGGCTAGGCTTCAAGACGGAGGCCCCTTTAGGTTTGTGCATACTGGGCAGCGGCTTGGTGCTCCTGCTGACCTGCTTCCAATTTCCAGCAAAGCGCCCCAAACCTACGACGCATCTCGCGCCCTCTTAAGCCCGTCTGACTTCAGCAGCCTCCGATTCGCCTTCCCAGTCGACGCCGAGGCTTTGACCGAGAGATCCGTTAGACTTCCAGAGAATTTCAGGCATCTATTCTCCTGCACAGTCGACAATGACCAGGATGTTATCGATCTTACAGTTGACATCACTGACCTCACTGTCGACACTGGTCTTGTCGACCGTGGCCAGCTGGCCCTGACATCGATCCGGCTGCTCAGCGTCGACACTTAGGCAGGCTCGTTCCAACAGTTGTGCGTATCCCTTGGCAGCTAACTTGTCGAGCTTGTCCTGGTCCAGGTCGTGCTTCGGTGCCAATCGACCGACGCAATTACCATCCGCGGCACATCTGCCATACGAGCCCGTGACGGCGTGACCAAGCTCCACGAGATACCAGATGAGGCATGCATGCTCATCCACCGAGATGCCGACCGAGGAAAATAAGATTTCATAGATGCCGACCTTTGCGACGTCACCTGCCACTCACCATCACCAACATGCCTCGACTTCTACCGACCAGGCCGTTTGATCTGCCGCCGGGAGCTGGGCGGCCGAGGGAAGGAGATGGAAGAGTTCCTGGTTAAAGTGGATGCCGCTGAAGTCCAACATCCGCAGTGCAAGCCCTCCGTGGCAGTTGGTGAGGAGCTACGGTCAAGGGAGCTAGTAGGCTCTTCTATCGACAGGGATTTCATCAACCTGGAATGCTCGATAATCAGCCACGGATGCCGGAGCTCTTGACAGCAGTACGCAATGCTCGACACTTACTCGGGTACTGGTGGGGTGTCGCGAGAGGTCCCCATGGCTGGCTGTATGTGGTTGAATAGGTGCAAGAGGTTTGGGTCACCTACTAGACAAACCTTCCCAGCCCTGCCAGTACTCTCCATTCGCTCTGGGATTGTCCCTGTTGGGCAGACACTCGGTCTCGCAAGGAAACGTCACAGTGAGCCTTTCAACGGCTCCATCGGTGACTTGACGCAAGGGTACTCAGGGCGCTGGCAGGTTGTCAGGCTCTACATCTGTGCTCTGCCCAAGACCGAAGGCGCCTGATCATGATTGCATTGGCACCTGGCGCGACGCCCACTCTTCCCCGAGACAATACAAGGAGATGGCCTGCTCCCCTACAACAGCATCGGAAAGGCGCCCCAGCTGATGATCTGGTGTCACTCTGGGACGAGGTTCGTGACATTGATATCGCACGGTACTTTAGTCTTGCTGGAGCACTCCACCACTCAAAGCAACTCGCAGAGATTGTCACCACGATAGTGGAGTACTTCTACCACCTCGATGGCGGCACAGAATCTGATTGTGGGAGTTGGCAAGCCTGCAAGGATTCACCCTGTCATACCGATTCCTCAGAGGCACCGCCTCGATTCATAAGGAATCTTGCGATTGACTTGGCGTAGCAGGAGAGTTTTGGGAGATGGCATACTGTGATTCGGGTGGTATTGGATGGGAGGCTTTGCTAGTTGGCGGTATCGAACAGAAACAGGATTCATACGGTTTGGCAAGGGATCGAAAGCTTATTGGCCTGTATTGAATCAGTCACCCAATTCACCACCATCATGACGACTTTTCATTTCGACTCGCATGTTTCTTTGCCAGCCGCGCCGCTACACACCCCTAACCGCCCATCTCCACGATGCACTTGCCTAATAATCTCCTCAATTTTCAAGTTAGTTGCAAGTGGCAACAGCAGTGCGTAGAGTTGCAGTAGTTCTGAGACGTCTTCAACTGAACGTCCACGTTTCATGGTAACCATTACACCTACAGGCATGAGTCGATAAAGCACCATCACGCCGTATCAGATGGGTTTTTGCTCGTGAGTTTACGCTGTTAGAAACATCGAGCGCTCCAAGATGGAATCGTAACGTTTTATCAAGTCCACTTGAGAGTCTAATACCAATGATGGTAGAAAGGTATCTGATGCCTGATACTGAAATAACGGAGATCGTCAGCACCAGAACCCTGAGCCTGTAGAACACACCGACACGGCTCTGGCTGCACTTGGCCAAGTCCTTGAGCAGTTCGAATCAATGCTTTTCATACCCGGTTCCATCGCAAACCTAGTGATGATGTTTGACCGGCCACAATACGTAGATCATCGGCAATACAACAACGATACCGACTTGGGTACCGACTGAGTTCGCTATGAGAGTCAAAGAAAGTCGACTCTCGTGGTTTTTTTTTGGTCTCTCGGGCGTGCTTCCATATCTGATGTCGGCGATCGTTCCACTGGCAGTCGTGGCCTCCTGTTTCACCAATGACGAAGGAGAATGTTGCAAGTGAATTGGCGGAGGCAAAGTCGGCAAGTTAGCTCACGAGACTCGGCACACAGCCGCGTTACTTGTTTTCACACGAAAGGGGTCGGTGATCAGTATGGAGCATCCATCTGGCAACGCTCTGCCTCGTAGAAGGACACGCCAAATTGCCACAAGCCAGATTGACAAGCGGCCGCTGAGGAGGACGATGAGTCGGCGCCTGGTCCACCAGACACATACACGCCAATTCGACGGAACGGCGCGAAGGACTAGGGTTAAGGGGCGTCAAGGTCCGAAGACCAAGGCGCAAGGTCTGTTGGTGGTATTGTAGGCAGAAATGCGTTCTCGGGATGGTCAAGGGTAGTCTTCTCGATTCAGAACGCCCGACCATGACATGTCACGCGAAGAGCTGTGATCTCGCCCACCCACGTCATCCTGTCACTGACGAGAAGTGTTTAGACCTTCACGATGCAAAACGTTTCGTTTCAGGATTGCAGTTATAACCCAACTTGGTTGTTTGTGCGTTCGGGTCGCTGGTCAACATGGCCAGGCCTACGCTCTCAAAATGTGATTGCCGTATCAATGTTTGGTTCGACTTGCCCCTTTCCATCATGCCTTGTCAAGCAAGCGAAACCGACAGAAAAGATCTTGAGAAGACGGCGTGATTCCGACATTACCTTTCAGTGGTTCGAGATTCTATTGGCGAAGCCAACGCATAATTAGCCTAGCAGGCTGCTACAAGCATCAAGCCAGTACTCAATCTGGATTGCGATGATCATGCACCATTTGCCGTCTGGTGCGTTGCAGTGACCTGCCTGGAATTGAACTCAGATTGTGTCTTCCTGTTCACCATGGCTTGAGCTATATCGAGAACATATGTGACCTGATCAGACTGTATCGATAACATCTGGCCAGCGACTGAATTAACTGCGTGTTTACGAATAGGCATTACTATTGCTTCATATATAATACAAGAACCGTGTGCCTTTCAAGCATCAATAGAAATGAACAGGCTACCTGATTGGTACCGGCCTCTGGATCCCTCACCACGAAATAGGGTTAGGAACGGCCTTACGGCGCGTTGAACTCAGCTCTTACCTCATGAGTGGTTTGAGCTCACATCTCGCATACAAGTGGAGAAATGCTCAGGATAATTCAGCCTAGCGATGGAGCATAGCAGTCCCAGTACGTATTGTTTATGGTTACTCCTAATGTGTACATTCGTACTTATTACTTTTCGTCCCCTGCTTCAGAACCCTGCGTCCAAAAGACTGGACGTGGGGTTGTGCGGGGCAATGGGAGCAACATGACGTAGCCAAGAAGTCTGCTTTTGCCCGCGATCCATTGAGAGGAAAATACAACACCTGCATTTGGTGCTCGGGGTAACGAGGTACGCCCTAGTCATCAGACAAGCGGTTGATTTTTCAGCCCTCACAGGAACGGCTGGATAGACTATCTACTGATTTCATCCCACGGTCACTTGAACCCCTCCACTTGATATGTTTTGTAGACGCGCCGGATTAGACGCGGCCCGCACCGACACGCAATGCGCAGATCATTGGGTGTGGATGTGATGCAACGAACTACACATGCAAAATGGCGCTCCTGGTGACTGCTGGTACATTGATCGAACGAGCTCCTCTTTCCATGAGGACGCGGGCTGGCATATGAAGTGTCGGTAACACGCGACATACCCGGCGGGTTTAGGTTCCCATACGGCGCCCCCTCTTTAGAGGGGGGAAATGGTTGTATAGGGTTATAGTTGTTGGTAGGTACAGGCCATGGCCGATGCGTCAGTGTTGCCGTTGTCATCTCTGTTCCAGGTGGCATGTAGTGATCGCGAATTGAATTGTTGCTCGTACCACGTCCATGCCTGGTGTCCGTTTTTGTATGTCTGATGCAGCTTTGCCTCCAGGTGAAACGAAGTTGTCGCGCCTTTCTTCTACGTATTGCAGTATCATATCCTTGAACAGTTTCATTCACTTCTCGCACCAAAAGAGGTCGTGTTCTACCGTTTCCTTCGTCTGACGTAGAGGGTTGCTACAGTCAATGGGCAAACGGGTCCGGAAGCCAGGACAGCCGTGCACAACTTGTCGACCATGTATAAGCCTGGGAGCCACTGAGTCATAGCGATACCCCTAACGACATGCTTGGCGGGCCAAATGTCCTTCTCATGCAAAGGAGGAGCGTCAATCGCCACAGCTGTAACAGCGAACAGCAACAACATGCGAATATTACCACCTCCCAGCCTCGTCTTGACAGTCGTACTATATCAGCTGCAGGGGGGTTGAAAGTTGACTGAACCTGGACCAAGACGCACTGATGTTCAACATTGATGGCCTGGTAATTCAATTAGCTCCTGTTGCATGGGAGGTTAGCGCGATGTGGAACTGTACCCCTGAATCTTTGTCTACGCAGCCTGCAGCGGGTAGGCGACGTCCAGCCGCGCCAGATTATGTGGTGGTCCGTGTGAGACTAACCTCAGCAAACTCGAGGGGTGAAACCCGATAGGTTCGTCCTGCGGCTCGAAGTCTTTGGGCAAGGATGAGCCGAAAATCTCATTCACGAATAGTAATGAGGTACCCTACAGCGATCACACAGTATACACTCTAGTAGCTTGTGAACAGGCATACCCCTGACTCAGTACGGAACAAGGGGATTGAAAATTACTAGGTATGTGATAGCTTTCTGTTGTTTCCGTCTGTTTTCCCGTCCACTTTGCAAGCGACTTTTTGAAATGAGCAAAACCGACACCAAAGTGAGGCCTACTGGCAAGATATCAAAGGCCAAGAAAGCCAGTCCATGTTTGTAGTGAATGCCAAAAGGTACATTTATCTAATCGAACTACGGCAGGTAATTAATTACGAACACAATCAGGTATACACTCGAGCTGAACATCCGAGGTACAACTTATAGAGATATAACAAAGATGAAGAGCTCACCAATTGGCAGACGGCATCAGGCTTCACACCAAGAGCCTCAGTTCGAATGTCCGGTATGTCAAAGGCGTTTTCATCGCAAGGACCTACTAGAAAGACACTACAAGCGGTCAGTCATACCAACTCCATGATATGACAATTCTGACAGTAGGTTCGTGTCAAACATGAGGAAGGCATGGAGTAGCCGGCTATTTCGGGTCACACGAGTTGAATTTGAAATGTACAGGGAGCCCATTTGCAACTGATGGTTGAAAATAATTTAACAGTATGGCTTGGCAATTTAGGTTCGGAGTCTTTTGTTTGTGGCACTATTTCCATTGATTCTTGCAACTCCACTCTGAAGGCGCAAACAGGGCGCTAGGTCCGCAGGGGAGTTGAAAGCTGACAAGACAGGGATCCGAGCTAACGTAGGCGGGCGCACAAAGTGAGCCGATCTCTTATTGATCGACAATGCACACTCAA